TCCGGGGGCTCGTGCAGAGGCTCCCATGCAGTGGGGGGCAGTGGGGCTTTTTTCTAAAGCACCAGGAGCTGGGGCGGGCAAGGCAGCCATAGTGGGACCTGGGAGAGTGGGCAGGGGTTGGGGGGGCTGGGGGAGCAGGCAGGGGATGTGGTTTGGCAGGGGTGCCCCATGGTCCCCTCCCCCACCCCCTACTTACCAGCATGTAGTCTAGCTCCAGCTTCCCGCTGCAAATCATCAAAGCTCTCTGAATCTTTTCTGAAGATTCAGAGAGCTTCAAATCGATTCAGACCTTTTTATTGGTCCCCTGATTGGATTTGGATTTCGAGCTTTAGCAACCAAATCAGGCTGAATCTCCTCTGAATCGAATCACCACCCAAAGCTTCACCCTACTGCCCACCTCACCTCTAGCTGGGGGAGTGAGCTGACAGCTGCATTCTTGCAATTTGCAAAGTTGCAAACCTAACTACATGGGGATGTGGCTTAGTTTGCAACATTGCAAACTCATTTGAAACACCCAAATCTCATTGTGTGATGCTATTAAACCACACAAAGGAACTTTTTTTCACATGTACAAGCACCTTTAGAAATTAAATTGGTGTCCTTTGCTCAAGTTCAAAGGCAGTTAGTGTGGTAGCGTAGGATAGTCTTCACTCTTTTAGATTCCTTTTCATTCAAACTCAGTTAAATCAATTTACATGATGCAGCTATTGTACAGGGGACCCCGAGCTGAACGATGTGGCAGGAGTCCAGAAGAAGGTGGTTGAAGACATAAGCTCATGCAAGATTGCCCATTCTAACTCTCTTCATTGTAACCCTCTGTTAGTTACTTTTCTTTACACTCACCTTCTTGCTTTGTATGTTACACTGATTTAGGCTTCCTTGTGCTCAAGGAGTACAGGTATGCATGAGCTAGTTTGAGCTAGGTAGCCCAGATACTCATGGCAGTGCATCCACAGCAGAACAGCTTTGTTTAATTTATGCTTCCTAGGTATGTTTTACAGCTACATTGCGCTCCAGGCTTCTGTGGTTAACTTTCTTCAAGCACTTGAGTTAGTTGCTTCAAAGCTAGCTCAGGCATATCTATATACCTGCAGGCACTATTATGACCGCAGTGTAGACAAACCCTGGACTCAGTGGGCTAAATTCAAAAGGTAACACAAGTTACACTATGTAAAACATGGAGTAAGTAGACAAGTAAAGCTGAGCTGATGTAAAACGCACATGGAGAAAACCAAAAGGTGTAAGTTACACCAGCTCAGACTCCCTGTCCGTGCCCATCTCTGCTTCGCTCTTACCCCATCACACAGACTGAAAGCCCAGGCAGAGGAATAACTTTCTTGGGGTCAGTAAAGGGTACTAAGCCAGTGTCTGCAGCATACTCTTCTGTAAGCCCCTCAGAAACCAGTGCTACCAGGAAATTTCCAGCTAGTGACAGTCAGTTCTCATTACAAATACACAATCAGTCAGGTTGCCCTGTGAAGACTAGGACTCTGTGATGTTTCTTGGCCATGTTCACTCCCTCCAGCAGAAATCTGAAAACTCTTCTTCCTCAGGGTGTGAAAGAGAAGGAAACTGTGTGACTGCATTTTTTTAAAGACATTTAAAAAAAAAAAATCTAAAAATAAATTCTATTAAATCAGAAGGCTGAGCTCTAACTCTGAGCCAATGGAAATCTCGTGGCACATTATGTCATTTGCACACTAGTTACAAGGAGGAGCAAAGGGAGGGGAAGCCAGTGGGTATTTCATAATGCTGTCTTATTACATTTATAGAGTGCCTCTCTCTCCAGAGAATTGGAAAGCAACTTATAAAATAACCAGAGTCAATTCATATGCCATTAAAGGCCAAGAACAGTTGGCATTAATGGCTGAAGCTAAAGATACAGAGAAAATCACTGTTTTTATAGAATAATACACTGGACTCTGTAATGTCCAAAGAAGGTCTTGACGTACTGGTCCGTGATCAGGTCCATAAAGCAGATTAAGCAGAAGCCATATATAAAAGAAATGCAAATGCAGGAAAACACAGAAAATTCAGTGTTCTCTGTTACAAAAAGGCAAAAATATGACATAAACATGCTCCAGTTTGTGCCCTAGATCTCAGCTAGCTAGGAATTTCTAAACCTGATGCCTAAGATGAAGCTACAAAATCTTCGCCTTTGATACATCAGACAATCAGCTTGACGCTGCTCTGTTGTACAAGTTTCATACCTATTGATTTTGAAGACTTAAGAGAAGCGGAAACTTAGATATTTTTGTACCAGCTGTGTGAACGAGAACAACTCAGCTCTAATTCTGAATTCAGATTTCTATTTCCTCAAAGTTCAGCAGTATTCAAAATCAATGGTTGTGCTTTTGATTTAAACATTGTTTAAATAAATGCCTCCAAAATATTTTTTCTTTGATTTCTCCTTTAGAGTCTTCTCCAGTTTGCCAAACTTGAAAATGTTGGATGGAGTCCCAAAACTGCCAGAGGATTGTCCACCGCCCAAAATCAGATTTCTTTCAAAAATGTGTACTATATTGTAGCACTGTGTTTTGGAACTAACGGATTTGCATTGGTTAAGGGAATTTATAAATCATGTATATAAATGTTATTTTTTCTGACCGAAAGGGTGAGATGTCTTTCTTGAAAATTTGAGCTATGTAAATGTGAAAGAGGGAAAGGGAAAACAGAGACAGATTTTCAGTGTGTACATACATTTTTCATGTGTACATCCTTTTTCAAATATGTACATATATTTACATAATCATAACCAAGTGGATCTAGACAGAAATGTGTATGCACTACAGGGACTGCTAACTTGGAAAATCAGGTTGGGAATATCAGAAATAGGTCATTCTCCTATTTATCCTTTCAGCATCCCAGTGTCTAGGTGCTCCGTACTTTTAAATGCACTGACAGATGCTACTTTGGCCAGATATAGATGTGCAGGCACGTGCAGTCTGTGGTGCCGCAAACCACTTTGCAGTGTCACAAGCTGCACACCTGCCATATTAAAACATGCTGCAAATCTGCATTGTGGGGGGCAATATGTGCTACCAAGAAATCTCAGTAGCAAATAAAACTGGTGCAGAAAAATGCAATGCAGCTCACATCAGAGGAACATGCACTGGCAGATATGAAGGCAGGATCCTCCCAGGAGATGCTCTGGCTGCTGGCCAGAGTGTCTCCACTGTTTTAATTGTCCCCTGGCTCCTCCAGCATGGTGGGAGCCAGGAGGAGCAGGGAAACAGCAGTTTTCCAGAAGTGGGGCAATTTGTCCCACACCAAACCACATGTGCAGGGGCAGCATGCATTGTGACAAAAAGTAGTGACACAAATTTGTGCTGCTACTATTATTTTCCACCGCAAGCACACACCCCTGCAGGTGGGGATGTGCACACTAAATAGAGCAAATGGGCCAGACTCAAAGGTACAAGTTAATGTGCAGACCATCTTACATTATCTTAGACTTTCTTACATTCAGTACAATCCAGTTAATAATATGTAAGAAGAGAATTGAATTTTGGTCTGTCCCTCATTCATTCAAGTGAACATGGGTAAAATAAAAGTCAGCATCTATTTTTATCCCTAACATTAATATACCCAGTTATATGTATAAACAGAGACAAAAATCTGATTAGTAAGAAGTTTAAGTTGAACCTAATCACTTTCCAGAATACAATAGGACTTTAACATTTGACACTGATTCACTTAATAAAGAAAAGCAGAAATCTCTCATTAAATTATAATTTGCAAGCATTGTCTTGGTACCATAGCAAACCCAAAGGACAGAAAAGTTAACTCCAAATGTAGTATGTTGGGGAGCACAGGTCACTTTCTCTGAATGCCCCAAAATCCCAAGGATCAGAGGAAGCAGAACATGAGAAAGAAAAGGAGACAGTAACTAAGTCCAGTTTTTTGGTTTTTGACTACAGAAGGTTCCTGCAACCAAATCCGTGATAAAGGAAGAAGAGATACTGTGGAGGCTAAAAACCTCTTCAAGCGCATGAAGGTTATTATCTTTTGGGAAGAATGTATTTCATTCCTTGTTTGGATACTGATCTTTGAAGTACTTTACACAACAATGCAGATTTGATGGGCATAGACAAGCTGAATAACGTCTCAGAAAAGTCATACAATTCTGTGTCAACAGGAAAAAGAAATCAAAATATTCTGCTTGTCTGCGATTCTAGATCAACTCTTGAGCCTGATCTGACCAGTCAGATCTTGGAATGCTTGAATGTGATTTTATCGGGTGGGACATCTCTATGCAAAGAGGTGCCTGTCTGCTTAGTTCCTTATGAACGTGGGAAACAATCAAAGAAACAGCCCAGGTCTGCACTCTAAAAGGGCTTTCTAGATGCAGGAGGGCAGCTCCCACTGCATGCAGAGCATGGCATCTGTGTGCGCATACGAAGAGGAAGAGATATTAAGAGAAAAGGCATTAATTTTACAGAACAAGTTTAAAAATTAATTTCCTCATATCACTTTTTGGAACTCATTTTTTTTCCACAAGGCAGATTAATGCTCAGAACTACAGACACTTGTGATGCATTAAAGCTCTGAAATTATGCAAGCATAGATTTTTTCCATATTCCTTATGCCACAAATCCATTGGCTGCTTTAGATTTATGCTACACATCAAAGTGGCACACTGGTGTGTTCTCTGTCGACATGAGGGTGGGTTGATTGTGTGCATCTCTTGTACGTGAAACAAACATTTAAATTTATTTCTGAGCTGAATTAGGTTGCAGTTCCATACAATCAGGTTTACTGTAATGAAGGACTCGTGGCTGGATGTAGTATAAGGATTAAGTTTAACACTAATGGGGATACCATTAAGGAGACTATGTCCTATTTAAAAAGTCATATGAATGAATGTCCAGCTAATGAATGCCCTTTGTAATTGATAAACTCCTCCCAGCACCGGTGTTAAAACAGGCATCCTTCAAAAAAGGGTGAAGGTAAATGACAATGCAAACAGCTACATATTAGAGAAAGGCACAATTGCCAGTGAATGGAGATGAAGGCAGCAAACTGCAGCCATGGCAGCTGGGTCCCTGGGAATCCCTTTCTAATATGTCGGTGGAAAATTGTTCTAAGAATCGTTTTAAAACCAGTCCATTTGTGGCCAAACAAAAATGAATCTCTTGCCCTGGTCTTACTCTTAGAGCAAGCCTTTTGCTTCACCTAAGACTCCTTTATTATAGATATAGTCTTAACTCCCCGAAGCCTTGAATCATTCGTGTTTCAGCCAACTGCATGAACCACATGAAGCTTACTGGCTGAGGCAGCTGTAGAGCTGATGGCTTCACTTCTCACACCCGCTGCGGTAGGGAAGATCAATTTTTCACTCTTTTTTTTTCAGACAGCTCCACCTACACTGGCACACAAACAACTAAGCCTGGCATGACTCAAATTCAATCACTATGTAGACCAGCAAAATCAAGGCTCGTTAACAATATTGCTTAGCCCCAGGCTCAATCAACTGATGCACTTTTGCATGTGGATGTGAGGTGCATTTCAACCGTTTGTGGGAGGGAGGAGGGAAGGAAGAGAGGACAAAGGTTGCCTGCAAGATTCAATAGTACGATGACCTAGCTGTAGAAAGGATGTTGTGTTTCAATATAATCCTGACCTGAGTGGGTATGGAACAGATTCGCCCACTTCAAAATGTTTTCTGGGGAGGGCCCTTCCAACTCCAGCCCTCACCAGTGAGGCTGCTCATCTTTCCCATAGTTTCATCTGCAAGGAAATCGTGCAAAATACTCCATGAACCTGATCTCACATTTTTTAATTTATAATAGTCCTGCAACTGTGGGAGGAGAAAGATATGCCCTGCCAAGGGCTGAATATGTTGAATCCACAGCCTGCATCCACTACCTGGTTGTTGTTGCTCAGACCTGGTCTCAGATATTTCTTGAAGGGCAAGTGCTAAGAGAAAACCAGGAGGTATTATAACTCAGTGGGCATCCCTAAGTATTCATTAATGTGCAGTACTTATTGCACATTTAGTTTAGTATTTGCTTAATGAAGTACTAACTAAATGCACAGTAACTACAGTTACTGCACAGTAGTGCCAGCACACGGTTTTTTTTGTAACGCTTACTGCGCAGTAACCTAATAACACGGTGCAGTAGTATATTAGCAAGGCTTTTGACCAGCACACTACTGCAGTGTTATTAGGTTACTGAGCAGTAAGTATCTCATGAAGACGCACCCACTA